TAGAGGTATAATGCCACATCGTTTAGCTGCAAGTGCCACAGAATTCAAGAAAGGTCCGTTTTGCATCCCATTCCATCGCTACAACTCCTAAAAATTCTGTTTTCTTTGGGTATTTTCGACGTCTCTCTTGATCGGCGTTTCGTCTAGCCGTGGTCCTCAAAGTTCTCCTCTTCCCCTTCCTCTAATTACCCCGTCAATGCCATTTTCCCGAGGCCTGGAGATGCCCTTGGGGCCCATTTTTGAACCCATAGCCCCGGCCAGACGCTGGGACCCACTTCGTTGTATCCCGGGGTCCAGCTGGTCCGTAGTAGCTAGGATTTGACGTCTCCGTTCTTAGTAAGACTAGTAAACTAACTGTGACGATTCTTAGGGTAATTTTAAGAGTTTTGTAAAGCAAATAAATTCTTTTTGCCTCAATTCTTACGTTTCATTCAGTCGTTTTCTCATTTTTCGAGTAGGAAAAGAAAAACAATGCTTAAGATTTTAGAAAACCAGGTACATGATTTAAAATTAAAAAAATCTCAAATTTAAGGCTTATTATTGCTTCCGAAAGCTTGATCAAGGATTTTTTTATGAAAAATGCTTCAAGTTATTTTGGAAAAGGCACGAGAACAGGAAAAAAAAGAAAAAAAATTAAGCCCGTAAAAAAAAAAAAACACAAAAACATTTAGCAAAATCACACAGGGAGGCATATATACAAGCACCTACCATGAAATTTTGCATGCAACCAAAAAACTAAAAGTTTTTCAGGATGTGCATATTTACCAAAATACATAAGCGCAAAGGGGAAAAAAAAAAAAAAAAAAAAAAAATACCAAACCACAAAACCCAAAAAAAAAAAAAAAAAAAACAAACAATAAAAAAAAAAAAAAAAAAAAAATAAAAAAAAAGAAAAAAAAAACAAAAATCTACCAAACAACGAACAACACAAAAGTCGCGAACACAATTTATGATTTTTATACAAGAATATAAATATAAATAAAGTAAAAAAAACCCACAACCAACAAAATAAAAATCAGCCCAAACAAAGGGGCCAAGCCCACCCCCACAAGCCTAAAGTTTTGCATAAACAAAATTTCAAGAATTCCAGAAAAAAACAAGGCAAAATAACACGCACAACAGTTTAATTAGGGTTCGGAGGTGCTTCGAAATATATCCCCTGTAAAGATATTCCGATTTTAAACGAACCTAACAAAAAATTTTTGGGCGGTAAAATCCGGTTTTTAGCCAATTTTTAACCCAGTTCCGGGCACAATTGGTGGCAGCCGATGGTGTGGTTGGTATTGGAGTGGAGTGCTGGGTGGCTAGTGGTGGTCCGAGACCGGCCCTGGAGGGGCTTGGTTGGTGGTTGGTGGACTCTCCTCGGCTATCGATCCGTCCCCCTCTCTGCCGTCTCGCCCCCTCTCCCCTTCAATGCTCTCTCCTCTTTCCTATCGGGCACCCTAACCTCGTGGAGTTGCCACAACTTTCCGCCGCTAGTCATCAGTGTCCAGGCATTCCATAGCTAGGATTCATTGCTGTTTTGTGAATCAGTTGGTTTTTGACGTAAATCGACATTTTCTTACGGATAGCATGGTTTACTGAACAGTTAAGGCTACTCAAAAACTGCCTTTTCCGATATCCAAAGCCTAAAAATTTAGTACTTTCAATTTTTCACCCGAAAACTGATGTCCAGTGGGCCTTGCTCATTTTTCCGCGTTTCCTATTTATTCACGCTTTTTAGGAATTAATTTAAAGGCTGTTTTTTGGGGCTTAGCTGGTTTTCGATTATTTTTACATTATTCTAATTACCTTTACATTACATCCTATGGCTGCAAATTTATCCTTTTGGACTTCGAAATGGGAACTGGCGCTTTAGAGAACTGGGATCGAAATTATGGATGCCAAAAGCTTGCCAGACTTCTGTGAAACTGGGAATAAATTGAAAAATCGGATTTTAGCATTATTTTATACACTTTTTTCTTTTAAATTTGCATAAACCTGCCGAGAAAAAGCATGTCTCGGCGTAATTTTATAGAAAAGTGAACTATTGAAAATTTACTGGCCGATCGCAAACCTTTCCAGCGTTTTTTTTCTTCTTGCCAAATCACACTATACATCAGGAGTTTTTAATTTTATGTTACAGGTTTTTGGCGGCTACTTTTTCTTGTCAATCTTGAATTTGCGATAGGAATTGGCCGAATAGAGACTGGAAATAGTCGTTTCAAATTGCTAAGCTTTTCCGATTTTTTCTGAAGCTAAAATCGAATAACAACAACCCAAAACATACCAAAAGTCGTGTGCTACATGTCGTCAAATATTCCACTACCGCCACGCGTGCCAGATGACTCATATTGCTCCCCCCGTTCAACCCTTATCTAGCCCCCCATATACCCTTCCCTGGTTTCTGATTGCCAACTGGCCGCCGGGGAGGATGAAACGCGTTCAAGGGGGCGCTTTTCTATTTCCTGGCCGTTTCCGGCCGTTTCCGGTGAGCCTCAGGTCCATCTTCGACGTTGCTCCATTTCGGGGTTTCCATCTCCTCCTCCTCCCCCTCCTGCTCATTTATCACCCACCGCTAAGAGGTGGGCATTTATTCTGAAGGCGGGGAGACGGACGTCCCCTGGGCACCCTAAAAGCCCCACCACCCCGCCAGATTTCCTACCCTAGCCCATTCCTCGCCTGCGGCAACGCCTCCGCTGCTTGCCAGATGACGTGCTTTTTACGAATTGTTGCTTTCCACGGGATGAGAATTGTCATGGAAATTAAAGGACAAGTATTGAAGTAGCGAATTGAACGTCAGCACATTGATAAAATGACGGCTCCTCAATTAAACCCAACTTTCAATGTGTTAAGATCCATCAAGATAGCCTCTTGCGCGTGATAAATTTTCCCATAATGTCATTAATCCAATAAAATCATGGCTTTCGAAACCGAGGTTGACACATTAATAGGAACGCAAATCGCTTAGATATTCGAGGCTTTAGATATACTTTTTTTTGCCATTTCCTTGCGTTTTTCAAGATTTTAGATCATATGGTATTCTTGACTTCTGGGATCACGTGAATTCGTTCTTTTATCGTCGCGTCGTCTGAGTCGACTTCTAAATCACTTTGCCCTTCGCCGCAATTAAATTTTTTTTCTGCCTGACCTCTTACGCGTAAAAGGCCATTGGGCACGTATAGCTGCGCGTGAGGAGTTAATTCGAAAGTAAGGAGCGCAGTCAGCAAAAATTTCTATCGATCGTGTAGGGCCTTAATTCTAATTCTAAAAATTGCATTGAGAAACCGGTTTTTTTGACCGAGAAAGGAAAATTAGATAGGCTCAAGTCTAGGAAACCCCCCGAGCCGACTTTTCAACTTTTTTACCTCCCTTATTTTTTTATTTTTATTTTTCGCTACTTTTTTCGACTGAAATGCAAAGTAGTCTTACTAATTAGCCTACGGCGAACATTTTGGTATACTTCGGAGCTCGCTAGCACAAAGGGGGGCCGAGATACAAAAGTTGGTGCCGGCTGGGGGGTTTCTAGACTCTTACCATTAAATATTTCACGCATTTCTTTGAATCCGGACTATACATTTTTAGCGTATCGTGAGGCTTTTGATCAGTTTTATTGAAACTTTCGAATTTCGAACTTCTTAATTATGCACGACAATCAAACTCTAGCTCGACTATCTTCATAAATCAACCCGATCTAACTACCCATTACTCTACCTCATCTCTGTCTATCGTGTGATGAGTAGATCCGGTCGCGCTCTTCTATCCCTACTGTGTGTATTGGTAGTGGTGGAAAGTATGCCGATGTCGAGCTCTCTCTCTCTCCCTCTCTCTCTCTCTCTCTCTCTCTCTCTCTCTCTCTCTCTCTTTCTCTCTCTCTCTTTTCCGCTGCCTATTTGTCGGCCTCTCATCTGCCCCGTTCATTCACCCGAATTTCCCTCCCGCCCCGCACTGTCTGTGAGCCGAATGCAAATAGTATAGTGTCGGAAGCCGGGGCAGTCCAAGAGAGAGGGGGCGAAACGAAGCGGTTCGGAAAGATCAAACTCATAACGAATCCGGGTCGGAACCGGGTCCGATCGAAAAAAATTGGCAAACAGGCAGAAGGAGTGGAGTTTCAGGGTTCGGCAGGTTTCAGAACTGCTAAAGATCGTAGTTCGGAGAAAAATTGCTATGATGATGGTTGCTATATTAATCATTCCAGACCATTTATAAATTATTTAATTTACTATTAATATTTAAAAGTATTGTTCTAATTTTGCCAATTGAATGTTTTGACGAAGTCAGGTGAAAACACTGGATAACCAGTAATAACCCTCAAAATATGCCACTCCGCACCCCTAGACCCGGCACCCTTTCCACTAACCAGAACCAGATGGTCAGGCCACGCGGGGCGGCAACGTGTCGAGTTGCTAAACGGCCAGTCTGCCGGTCATTCCGGCAAAATACCTAGCTCTGGAGTTTCCGGTTTTAGATTTTCTACAACTTGTTTTAACCTTTTCTATGCCCCATTTCGGTGCGCCATACTCTGCTTTAAGATTTAGAGACTTCAAGTCAGGGGAAAATCCGGCTTTTTATGACTTTTACGTATCTAATTGCTCCATAATGATTTTGCCATTCCATTGTTGCCGCACCTCCTCACAGCGATGCCCTCCCCCTCCTGGAGAGCTGGTCCAACTGGGCCCCCTTGCCCGTTGTGGCCCCGGAAATCCGATACCGAAGCGACGCCTCTACACCCTCAGCCATTCCCTCTAGTCGTATCTCCTCCAACGGCACACTCACGCGTTTTTTGTGGCTTTTTCTGTCCCAATGTGCACTTTCCGATTCCCGCTTCTTTGTATTCTCTATGAGTTATTTTGTAGTTCTCACAATGTTGGGCGTTAATTCTTTGCGCTCACTCTCTCTCTCTCTCTCTCTCTCTCTCTCTCTCGTTTTGTCTCTCTCCCGTTTTTCAGCATCTTACGAATTAATTTTTCAGATTTCCGTGGTGTCGGGTGCCCGGGAATCCTTCCCTGCGGTGAGTCGAGATGATGGCCGGCCATCCCAGCCAGTCACTCGACGTCATCGACTTGAATTCACTTAAAGTAAGTTTTAATCGTGGCGCTTATGGCCAATTATTGAATTGTACAACATCTAGCTCTTCAATATTGGAAAAAATGGTTTTCATCAATCGTTTTCAGGACCCTTCCGGAATTTTCGAGCTCATCGAGGTGGTCGGTACGGGCACCTATGGACAAGTTTACAAGGTGAGTCCTGAGAGTGAGAGAGAGAAAGAGAGAGAGCGAAAGAGATAGAGAGAGAAAGAGAAATCGACAAAAATGATTTTTCCAGGGTCGCCATGTCAAAACCTCTCAACTTGCCGCGATCAAAATAATGAACATCAGCGAGGAAGAGGAGGAGGAGATCAAGTTGGAGATCAACATGCTCAAGAAGGTCAGTGTGACTTAGTTATAAGATGATTTACTGCTTTTTCGGCGCTTTCTCCCATAAATTCAAGAATATGATTTGAAGCTGATTTTTGCAGGACTAAATGATCGCCAGTCCCTTTTTCCCTTTTTCCTGTCACTGCCCTCTTAAAAACTACCTCAACTATGCTAGGCATCCTCGCCCCCATTTCGTAAGGATAACCTTGGTGCCCCGGCTCGCAAAACATTTGCGCCTTGTCGAAAAAGCGATCGTTATCCGCGCTCCCCGCGGGGTGGATGGCCTTTTTGTTCACGCCGACCCCTGAGAGTTTCGCGTTGAAAAAAGTGCTTTTGTGGCTTTCGGTAGGAGAAGAAATAGGCCGACCCCTGGAAAGTAGTGGCTCGGGTCTGGGGATCCCACAGTTTATGACCAGGCCAAGAGGAGTAAGGTGCAGGTGCTACCTTGTGGTTTTCCAGGGATAGCGAAGGGTTGAACGAAGTTAAACAAAAAATAGCTTTAATGAAGTTTAACTAAATAATTGAAATCAATATAGAATTAAAAGAAAGGCCTAGCTCGAGTATTATGTTAACCTCTAGCTTTTTCTCCGCTAGGTCTAGACAGCTACGAGAGGTGCCAATGGAGGTTGAAAGGGCACCCTTCCTGCGATATCGTTTTTGATGAACAAAAAACCTTTAAAAATGAAATTATGCTCTAAATTTCATCGTTTTGGAACATCAACGTTTTCATCCTTGGCTGTCGAGGCCCAGTCGTTGGAAGCGGTCGTTTTCTCACTTGCCAACCCCTGAACTCCCAAATTTCAGTACTCCCATCACCCGAACATTGCCACCTACTACGGCGCCTTCATCAAGAAGCTCCCCTCATCCACCGGCAAGCAGCATGACCAACTCTGGCTGGTCATGGAGTTCTGCGGATCAGGATCCATCACCGACCTCGTCAAGACCAGCAAGGGATCGTTGAGGGAAGAATGGATCGGATACATATGCAAGGAGATGCTGCAGGTTGGATTTGAATTTCATGGCGTAACCAATTGCTTCTAGGGTCTCTACCACCTGCATCAAAACAAGGTGATCCATCGTGACATCAAAGGTCAGAACGTGTTGTTGACGGACAATGGCGAGGTGAAGCTGGTCGATTTTGGAGTGTCGGCACAGTTGGACAAGACGGTTGGGAGGAGGAATACGTTCATTGGAACGCCGTACTGGTGAGTATTCGATTACGACAGGCAATTACCGAAACCTGATTAATTTTCTGGTCTGAATCAACAATAATTATAGCTAAGAAAGGATGGTTCGATGTCATACTGAAATACAGAAGATACAAACCTTTTTCAGGATGGCCCCGAAGTGATCGTTTGTGACGACAACCCAGATGCCACATACGACTCGCGCTCCGATCTCTGGTCGCTCGGGATCACCTCCCTCGAGATGGCTGAAGGACATCCGCCGCTTTGTGATATGCATCCGATGAGGTACGATTCTACGATCCTCTTGTTTTCTCTCCCGCTCTCACTCACTCACTCACTCTCTCTCTCTCTTTCTATCTCTCTCTCTCTCTCTCGCTCCCAGTTCATCTTTTTTCTAGTCTATTTCTTCCATTTTTAGAGCCCTCTTCCTCATTCCCCGAAACCCACCACCACGACTGAAGCGCAGCAAGAAATGGGGCAAGAAGTTCGAGTCGTTCATTGGTAGGTTTATTTAAATATCTGGTTTTTGCAGTTTTATCGATTAATTTCATTGCCAATTCTGATTTTTGCAGAAACCGTCCTCGTGAAAGACTACAAACAACGCCCATACACGGATCAGCTGCTCCGACATCCATTTGTGAGAGATCTGCCTCCAGAGCGGAGCATCCGAATCGCCATCAAGGAACAAATCGACCGACATAGGCGACTTCATACCAAGAAAGGTATGTAAATTACGATTAAGTGATTACACCAAATATCTAGATCGAAAAAAGGCAGTGCTAGGTTTGTAAGCACAAAGATAGTTGCACCAGGGTAATCATAGAAACACGATGAGAGAAAAACGTTAAATAATTCTAAATTTTTAGATGAAGGAGAGTATGAGTACTCCGGTTCTGAAGACGAGGAGACGGGCCAGCCTCGAGCTAGCAATCACGAGCCCAACCGTGGGGATTATTTGGCTCGAGACAGGACCGAGGCTGCATCTATGATTCCGGCTGACGACACCTTGAGAAAGGGCTTCCAGCGGTTGCAGGAGAATGGGCGCGGCGTGTTCGAGCAGGTCAGTTGTGTATCTATTTTATAATGGAGTGTAGAAACCGTCATCACTCGACTCAAATTGCTATGCCTTACCTTTTTCAGCCCGGGGCTCCTCAACTCAAGCGGATCTCAAATCAACCGCGAGCTGGAGCGTCCCCTTCCCAGCGACCTCATCAGCCGCACAAGCCATATTTGTAAGTTTTAATAGAATATTGATTTGGTTGCCTTGTATGGCTATATCATTCAATATTTTAGATACGCACCAGATGCCAGGGAACGTGAGCAAGCCGTCAAAATGCGAGCCCAAGCTGCTGCTCAGCAGCGGCCAAGCGGAAATGGGGAAGCAAGGGACCGGAGGTCGAGACCGATTAGTCATCATCAACGGTATGTCGGAAATTACGAGATAGCATTTAATATATTTTTTAGATCCCCGCCTGCCCCTCAATCCCACCCGGCAGCCCCTCATCTGGCTGAGGTTCAGAATTATGACGATCGGCGGCGACGCTCCGAGCGGGAATACCGAAATCGTGATCAGCGAGATCGAAGCGCACATTCTCGACAGCCCCAGGCCCCCAACAGCAGCAGGATGATGCCCACGGTACCTAAGATAACTTTGATTTTCACTCCTTCTAGGTTAACGTCGGTATGCCGCAACTCCGGAAAATGTCCGAGCCCCTGCTTCATCCTCAACAAGCACGACCGGAAGATCTGGACGTGCTGGCCCATGAGCTGTCCAGAATGGGCGGTCGGGAGGGGGAGACGTCGGCTTCACCTCCACCACCTGCGCCTCCACCTCGGGATGCGAGTATTACGAGTGGATTTGATCAGGAAGAGGTGGGTTTGGAAGTGGATTAAAGGGACGAGAAAGGCTGATAAAAAATTTTTATGGATTTTACTCTGGCTCCGACTCTCAGGGTCTCAGTGCTCAGGGTTTTCATGGCGTAACCGTTTGCGAAAATCTGCAGCCAACGGCGTGGCCTAAACGCGTTGCGTGTCGCGTTGCGGCGCGCGTGGCGCTGCGTATAGCTTTGCGAGTTGCGTGCCAAATTACGTGCCACGTTGCATATGGCCGTCAACATCCATGAGAATTTACTTTAAAAGGGGGTCCTTTAACGGACACTATAACTTTTCAAAGCGTTAGATACGCGTTGCGTTTTTCTAATTAGGTACTTTTTGAGTTTGTCAAGTGCGTTGGGTCGCATAATTCCGTTACGCCACGTAATTCCTAATTCTAGGAAGGCTCCGGAACCCTCCGCGGGCCCAACAAACCCCTGCCTCCCACCCCCAACGAGCATACCCCCGATCATGAACACCCAGAAAACGGCACCCTCCTTGGTCAACGTAATGGAAGAAGCCCGAGTCAACAGCGACACCATATGGTCAAGGTGAGCATAGTAACGTGACGTAATACAGTACCATCTCCAGTACCTCCGGCACTCATACTCGGTGGTAGGTGTAGGCATGTAGAGATTGATTTCGGTGCCCTTTGTTAGGAGATGCAGCTCGTTTTTTTGTTAAGGGCAAATTTGGAGTTTCAGGCCGCTTCTATGCCCGATTCTACAACGTCTACAGTTGATGCGAGATCTCCGGAATTTGGGGTTGGCCACGATTCTTCGAGTGATGATGATCAGGACTCGGATGATGAGAGGTAGATATTTGGCTTTTAAACTTGCCGCGAAGGCCTGTAGAAAACTTCTCTGTTTTTTGATCCCTCGCTTTCGGTTATAAGCTCTATTAAATTCCAGAATCATCCGCCCGAACCCGCTGGCGATGCCGGACCTCCTCCCGAACACCCCCGAGTCGAGAAGAACCTTCCAATCCGAGAGCAGCATCGACGACACCGCCAATGAGGAGGTGAGCCGCAAATTTTCAGTTTTTTTTGTGCTAAAAATGTCGACACTCCCATTTTTGTCCAGATCCGCTCGCTTTTCGGGAGCTTCTATGTAAGTTTCGCCCCGGAGACAGACCGAGTATTGGTACCATTATATCGTGCATAGCCTCCCGGCGTTTTAAAGGGATTGTGAAGGCAAAATTCTGGTTTTCTGTAGATTTCCGGACGCCTGTTTTTTTATGGAAAATTTGATTTTGATTTGATTTTGATAAATTTGATTTCTAAGGCGCATCATAATGTGATTTTGAGCGCTTTTCGAAATTTGTCAGCAAAATTTGCACATTCCAAGAAAATCTACAGAAAATTAGATTACGACTTCACTTCCCCGCCCCTTTAAAAGCACTTTTTCTCCTTCAGCCGCCCCCCACTTTTACTACTTCTTCCCTTTAGTTGTTTTTCTTTCCATTTCCGCGCTATCGTCTTGGCGGCTAGGCTAACAACCAGGCCCACGAGACAGTCATAATTTTTTTTGGATGTCGAAATGTGCATGTGTCGTCGGATTTTTACAAGATTAAGCCGTTTAAAAGGATTTTTTAGTTCCCACAAAGCTCCAACGGTACCCCGAAAGCGTCGATGTCAAATGGGCAGAATTTCGCGCAGCAACGGGAAAGGTGAGCAATTTTTCAGGCTGTTGGCGAGGATATACCTTAAAACTCTATATTTCTCCTTGTAAAATTTTGTAAGTAAAATGGCGCTGTGCCTTTAACGCTACAAAAGTTACAATTTTTGTAGAATGAAATCTTAGGGGCATAATGGTAATAATGTGCTCGAATCTAGTAAAAGTTCGAAAGTAATAAAATTTTGCTAAAGTAAATAGCAAACGATAATAACGATTTAATTCGGTTTTTCAGAGAAAAATCGTTTGTCGGCTACTTTGGCGGTGGCATTGGCTCGAGCGGAAACGGAACTGTCAACCGTCCCGGAAGAACAACGGACCCGCTTTCTCAGGTAACAAACGTCGTAATCAGTTGTTTAGCGTAACCATAAAACTAATTAAAAACTATAAAACTATAAAACTAGAGCATAGCTAGATCCTAGATACCTCGTCAGATACCTTAACTAAAGGGGAAAATCGTCAATTTTAGGTGCAAGTCAACATCAATGTCAACCCAGCAGCCGGCTCCAATGGAATTACCGTGGACCAGGACGCTCCCGAGATCCGAAAATACAAGAAGAAGTTCTCGGGTGATATCCTGTGCGCGGCGCTCTGGGGTGTCAATCTGCTAATCGGAACGGATAAGGGTTTGATGTTGCTGGATCGGTCGGGACAAGGAAAAGGTATCGGAATATGACTAGTTTGATCAAAAACCTTATTTTTAGTCTACCCTCTCATCAGCGGCCGTCGCTTCGAGCAAATGTCGGTGTTGGAGGGGCAGAATATTCTTGTGACCATCAGTGGAAAGAAGCAGCGGATACGAGTCTACTATCTATCGTGGTTGAAGCAGAAGATTTTGAGGACAGAGGTAAGTGAGAGAGAGCGAGTTAAAGAGAGAGATAGAGATAGCGTGTGAGAGAGAGAGAGCAAGAAAGAGACCAAAAGTAAAATCAATCTACTTTTCAGGGAGCCGGAGGTGTTCCTCAGGAAAAACGGAACGGCTGGGTCAACGTTGGTGATCTTCATGGCGCCATCCACTTTAAGGTATGTGCAAAATTGGCCAAATTTTTCCGAAGTTGCCATTATTATCCATTAATGCATCTGCTTTCAGATTGTCCGGTACGAGCGCATAAAATTCCTGGTCATCGGCCTCGCCGACACGATCGAGATCTTCGCCTGGGCCCCGAAGCCGTACCACAAGTTTATGAGCTTCAAGGTAGGCAGATGTTCAAACTCTCTCTCTCTCTCTCTCTCTCTCTCTCTCTCTCTCTCTCTCTCTCTCTCTCTCTCTTCAACACCCTCTCCATTCCAGTCCTTCGGATCCCTATGCCATCAACCGCTCGTCGTCGACCTGACCGTTGAGGAGAATGCGAGATTAAAGGTATACAAATTTTCTGAAAACCTTAATACGTTTTTGCTAGGTCCTCTACGGATCCCATGAGGGTTTCCACGCCATCGACCTCGACAGTGCGGCCATTTATGACATTTACACCCCACCCAACGGCCAGACGAGCATGACACCACACTGTATCGTGGTCTTGCCGAATTCCCATGGGATGCAGTTGCTGCTCTGCTATAACAGTACGTTTTTACGGTTTTGCCGCCTATATATGCACCTTCAAGTGTTATTAAACCCTGAATATTTAGACGAAGGCGTCTACGTAAACACCTACGGAAAGCGGTCAAAGAGCACGACGTTGCAATGGGGAGAGTTGCCATCGAGTGTTGGTAGGTCATGACGTCTACTAAATGCACACAGCTTATTAGTAACAGTGTATTTAATCGGAAGCGTGGTTTAGACCTTTAATTCAGTTGAATTTTTATTAAGTTTGAATTTCAGCTTACATCTCGACCGGCCAAATCATGGGCTGGGGCAATAAGGCCATCGAGATACGATCGGTTGACACCGGCCACCTCGACGGCGTCTTCATGCATAAGAAGGCGCAGAAGCTGAAGTTCTTGTGCGAGAGGAATGATAAGGTGAGTGAGAGGGCGAGGGGAGATCGAGAGAGAGAGAGAACGACAGAGAACGATAATGAGATAAAGCGAGTGATAGTGAGAGATGGGAGCCGAGAAAGGGATAGTGTCGCAGAGAGAGCGAGAGAGAGAGAGAGACAGAGAGAGAGATATTGAGATGGAGAGCAATGGAGGGAAAGAGATTGAGATAGAGAAAGGTACATTCATCTCCATTTATCCCAGGTCTTCTTCTCATCCGCCAAGGGAGGCGGCTCGTGCCAGATCTACTTTATGACGCTGAACAAGCCCGGTATGACGAACTGGTAGACGACGTGGAGAGGCCTATTCGAATGCGTATAGGAGCCGCTCTTCTTTACTCAAATTTCGCGATTTGTTCATATTTTGAGATTCGTCCGAACCTCGAACAGGATGAGCTTGGCTGCTTGCCAACAGCTCGCCGATCCGCTTTGTATATAATTCGAATTTTTTTGCTCGTTTGAAGGGATCTTGCCTCCAAAAGCGTTGCCTATTAATGCTTGCTGGATCCCTTTAAAACCCGCATGCTTTGCCAATTTGTGAAATTGCGTCAAAAAAGAATTGCGCTTTCCTCACTTCCCCGAGCTGCTCAACACAAAACCCAACTCGCGAAATAGCTTCACACCGCCTTTCCTCTCTTTCATTAATGCGTATGTTAACCTATCCCAATTTGCATAATTCTGCCACAATTTCCCTATTGCTCACCGACATTCAAAATCCTCGTCCCACGCCCCTGATGCTGCTCGATCAGTTATACAAGACACCACCCCGTTGCCTCTCGTCTTTTGAGCTCGATTTTTTTCATAAAATTGATGAGAATAGATGCCAAGACCTGTTTTTTGCACATTTTTCGTGTTCCCCATAAATTATGAGCCACACCTTGTTTTATTCTCGATTTTTCTGATTGTCATTTCTTCTATTCCGTCATTGCTTACAATGTGATAAAGTATTCCGAATGGTTCGTTTCTTACAGGAATTTTGGCGAACCCCCGTACTTTTGCGAATTCGCTCTGGAAGCGTGCTGAAAATTCGCTCTCTCTCTCTCTCTCTCTCTCTCTCTCTCTATCTCGCTTCCAGTAAAATTGTAAAACTGACAAAGCCTTTTATTATCTTGCTTTCCTTCCGCTGAAGCATTTTTTTTTGTAATTTTGATATTAACTTTCCTAACGTAGAAAACTTAGTGACGTTGCTAATGATTTATTTGAGCAGAATGCTTCAATTTTGAAAAATGATGATCCGACAGAACGACTTCTGGCTGTTCATCATGTCCCCGAAGCCGGTCTCATCGATGTCGAAGCGAATAAAGTTTTGCGGGCGCGGGTGGATACCGAAGGAAGCGTTAGGACCTGAAGGGATAGGTTATCACGTGCGGAGCGCTGCGTACTATAACAGTGAGCAAAATCGCTTCGAACTTTTGTGTTTACGGTGAGGGGAGGAAGGGTTCGAATTGTCCAACCTGCCAGGCATGTCCAAGATCCGCCGTACTTGGAGGAGAAGGCTTCAGAGATTCCGTCCGGTACCCTCCGCGGCCCCAACAAACCCCTACCTCCAACCCCCAACGAGCTACCCCCCGATCATGAACACCCAGAAAACGGCACCCTCCGCCAACGTAATGGAAGAAGCCCGAGTCAACAGCGACACCATATGGTCAAGGTGAGTATAGTATCGTGACGTAATACAGTACCATCTCTCCAGTACCTCCGGCACTCATACTCGGTGGTAGGTGTAGGCATGTAGAGATGATTTCGGTGCCCTTTGTTGGAGATGCAGCTTGTTTTTGTTAAGGGCAATTTGGGAGTTTTAGGCCGCCTCTATGCCCGATTCTACAACGTCTACAGTTGATGCGAGATCTCCGGAATTTGGGGTTGGCCACGATTCTTCGAGTGATGATGATCAGGACTCGGATGATGAGAGGTAGATATTAAGCTTTTCAAACTTGCCGCGAAAATCTATAGAAAACTTCTCTATTTTTTGATCCCGCGCTTTCGGTTATAAGCTCTACTAAATTCCAGAATCATCCGCCCGAACCCCCTGGCGATGCCGGACCTCCTCCCGACACCCCGAGTCAGAAGAACCTTCCAACCGAGAGCAGCATCGACGACACTGCAAATGAGGAGGTGGAGCCGCAAATTTTCAGTTTTTTGTGCTGAAAATGTCGACACGCCCATTTTTGTCCAGATCCGCTCGCTTTTCGGGAGCTTCTATGTAAGTTTCGCCCCCGGAGACAGACCGAGTATTGGTACCATTATATCGTGCATAGCCTCCCGGCGTTTTAAAGGGATTGTGAAGGCAAAATTCTGGTTCCGGACGCTTGTTTTTTTATGGAAAATTTGATTTTGATTTCTAAGGAGCGTCAGAATGTGATCTTGAGCACTTTCCGAAATTTTTCGGCAAAATTGGCATATTCCAAGAAAATCTAGAGAAAATCAGATTACGACTTCACTTCCCCGCCCGTTTAAAAGCACTTTTCCTCCTTCAGCCGCCCCCCACTTTTACTACTTCTTCCCTTTAGTTCTTTTTCTTTCCATTTCCGCGCTACCGTCTTGGCGGCTAGGCTAACACCCAGGCCCACGAGACAGTCATAATTTTTTGGATGTCGAAATGTGCATGTGTCGTTAAATTTTGATTTTTTACAACTTTGAAAATTATCGTTTAGTTCCCACAAAGCTCCAACGGTACCCCGAAAGCGTCGATGTCAAATGGGCAGAATTTCGCACAGCAACGGGAAAGGTGAGGAATTTTTCAGGCTGTTGACGAGGATATAGCTTGAAACTCTATAATTCTCCTTAAAATTTTGTAAGTAAAATGGCGCCGTGCCTTTGACGCTACAAAATCTACAAATTTTGTAGAATGAAATCTGAGGGGCATAATGGTAATAATGTGCTCGAACCTAGTAAAAGTTCGAAAGTAATAAAATTTTGCTAAAGTAAATAGCAAACAATAGTAACGATCGAATCCGGTTTTTCAGAGAAAAATCGTTTGTCGGCTACTTTGGAGGTGGCATTGGCTCGAGCGGAAACGGAACTGTCAACCGTCCCGGAAGAACAACGGACCCGCTTTCTCAGGTAACAAACGTCGTAATCAGTTGTTTAGCGTAACTATAAAACTAGAGCATAGCTAGATCCTAGATACCTCGTCAGATACCTTAACTAAAGGGGAAAATCGTCAATTTTAGGTGCAAGTCAACGTCAATGTCAACCCAGCAGCCGGCTCCAATGGAATTACCGTGGACCAGGACGCTCCCGAGATCCGAAAATACAAGAAGAAGTTCTCGGGTGATATCCTGTGCGCGGCGCTCTGGGGTGTCAATCTGCTAATCGGAACGGATAAGGGTTGATGTTGCTGGATCGGTCGGGACAAGGAAAAGGTATCGGAATATGACTAGTTTGATCAAAAACCTTATTTTTAGTCTACCCTCTCATCAGCGGCCGTCGCTTCGAGCAAATGTCGGTGTTGGAGGGGCAGAATATTCTTGTGACCATCAGTGGAAAGAAGCAGCGGATACGAGTCTACTATCTATCGTGGTTGAAGCAGAAGATTTTGAGGACAGAGGTAAGTGAGAGAGCGAGTTAAAGAGAGAGATAGAGATAGTGTGAGAGAGAGAGCAAGAAAGAGACCAAAAGTAAAATCAACCTACTTTTCAGGGAGCCGGGAGGTGTTCCTCAGGAAAAACGGAACGGCTGGGTCAACGTTGGTGATCTTCATGGCGCCATCCACTTTAAGGTATGTGCAAAATTGGCCAAATTTTTCCGAAGTTGCCATTATTATCCATTAATGCATCTGCTTTCAGATTGTCCGGTACGAGCGCATAAAATTCCTGGTCATCGGCCTCGCCGACACGATCGAGATCTTCGCCTGGGCCCCGAAGCCGTACCACAAGTTTATGAGCTTCAAGGTAGGCAGATGTTCAAACTCTCTCTCTCTCTCCTCTCTCTCTCTCTCTCTCTCTTTCTGATCTTTCTTTCTCTTCAAATACTCTCCATTCCAGTCCTTCGGATCCCTATGCCATCAACCGCTCGTCGTCGACCTGACCGTTGAGGAGAATGCGAGATTAAAGGTATCCAAAATTTTCTGAAAACATTCATACGTTTTCTTAGGTTCTATACGGATCCCATGAGGGCTTCCACGCCATCGACCTCGACAGTGCTGCAATTTACGACATCTACACCCCACCTAACGGCCAGACGAGCATGACACCGCACTGTATCGTTGTTCTGCCGAATTCCCATGGGATGCAGTTGCTGCTCTGCTATAACAGTACGCTTTTTACGGTTTTGCCGCCTATATATGCACCTTCAAACTGTTATTAACCCTGAATATTTAGACGAAGGCGTCTACGTGAACACCTACGGAAAGCGGTCAAAGAGCACGACGTTGCAATGGGGAGAGTTGCCATCGAGTGTTGGTAGGTCTTGGCGTCTTCTAAATGCACACAGCTTATTAGTAACAGTGTATTTAATCGGAAGCTTGGTTTAGATTTTTAATTCAGTTTAATTTTTATTAAGTTTGAATTTCAGCTTACATCTCGACCGGCCCAAATCATGGGCTGGGGCAATAAGGCCATCGAGATACGATCGGTTGACACCGGCCACCTCGACGGCGTCTTCATGCATAAGAAGGCGCAGAAGCTGAAGTTCTTGTGCGAGAGGAATGATAAGGTGAGAGAGAGGGAGAGAAAGAGAGAGAGAGAAGAGAGAAAGGAGAGAGAAAGAAACAGAGAGATGCTAGATAGAGAGAAGAGATAAAGAGCGATAGAGAGAGTAAAAGAGAGAGAGAAAGAGAGAGAGAAGGAGAGAAAAGGAGAGAGAGAGAAAGAGAGAGTGAGAGAGAGTTAGAGAGCCGGGGGAAAATATCCAATCTCATGGTTTTTAGGTCTTCTTCTCATCCGCCAAGGGTGGCGGCTCGTGCCAGATCTACTTTATGACGCTGAACAAGCCCGGTATGACGAACTGGTAGACGACGTGGAGAGGCCTATTCGAATGCGTATAGGCACCGCTCTTCTTTATTCAAATTTCGCGATTTTTTTCATATTTGAGATTTGTCCGAACCTCGAACAGGATGAGCTTGGCTGCTTGCCAACAGCTCGCCGATCCGCGTTGTATATAATTCTAATTTTTTTTGCTCGTTTGAAGGGATCTTGTCTTTAAAAACTGCGTCTATTAATGCTTGCTGGATCCCTTTAAAACCACCATGCTTTGCCAATCTGTGAAATTGCGTCAAAAAAAATTGCGCTTTCCCTCACTTCCCCGAGCTGCTCAACACAAAAACCCAACTCGCGAAATCGCTTCACACCGCCTTTCCTCTCTTTCATTAATGCGCATTTTAACCTATCCTAATTGCATAATTCTGCCACAATTTCCCTATTGCTCACCGACATTCAAAATCCTCGTCCCAGCCGCTGATGCTGTCCGATCAGTTATACAAGACACCACCCCGTTGTCTCCCCATTTTTGAGCTCCATTTTTTTTCATAAAATTGATGAGAATAGATGCCAATACCTGTTTTTTGCACATTTTTCGTGTACCCCATAAATTATGAGCCACACCTTGTTTTATTCTCTATTTTTTTCTGATTGTCATTTCTTCTATTCCGTCACTGCTTACAATGTGATAAAGTATTCCGAATGGTTCGTTTCTTACAGGAATTTTGGGTTGGCGTGCTGAAAATTCGCTCTCTCTCTCTCTTTCTCTCTCTATCTCTCTCTATCTCGCTTCCAGTAAAATTGTAAAACTGACAAAAGCCTTTCATTATCTTGCTTTCCTTTCGCTGAAGCATTTTTTTGCAATTTTGATATTAAGTTTCCTGACGTAGAAAACTTAATGACGTTGCTAATGATTTATTTGAGCAGGATGCTTCAATTTTGAAAAATGATGATCCGGCAGAACGACTTCTGGCTGTTCATCATGTCTCCGAAGCCGGTCTCATCGATGTCGAAGCGAATAAAGTTTTGCGGGCGCGGGTGGATACCGAAGGAAGCGTTAGGACCTGAAGGGATAGGTCGTAGGGGATAGGCACGTGCGGAGCGGTGCGTACTATACCAGTGAGCAAAAATCTCTTCGAACTTTTGTGTTTACGGGGAGGGGAGGAAGGGTTGGAATTGTCCAACCTGCCAGGCATGTCCAAGATCCGCCGTACTTGGAGGAGAAGGCTTCAGAGATTCCGTCCATGATTGCCTGTAATAAAAATTTTAGTAGAGAACCAGGTTTGAGTGGCGCTTTTTCGACTTTTCAACCCCCCCCTTTTTTTTCCCCTCCTTTTTTTTTTTTTTTAAAATCTTTAATATTTTTTGGAAAAGAAAGGGGATCCCCTCCCCCCCTTTTTTTTTTTGGGATTTAATTTTTTTCGTGTGGGTATAATTTTTTTTTATAAAGAGGGGGCGGGCGTCTTTTTAAAAAAACTATTTTTTTTTTATTAAAAGGGTGGTTGTAAAAATTTTTTTTGGGGGGGGGGGTCAAGGGAGGTAATTCACCTAAAGAGGGATATTGGGGGGTTTTAACTTCTTCCTTTTTTTGGAGGGGGGGGAAAGGAACGAGGGGGGGGGGGGGGAAAGCAAAAACACAAAAAAAAAAACACCCCCAACCAACAATTTTTTTATATTTGTTTTTTTTTTTGGAATTAGAATCGTCGCGTTGTGGAGCTGGCATCTAGGTTATTGCCCGGGAAGGAAAGAAGCACCCAAAGAAAGGTAATAGTGTCTAGTGAGCTTCCCATATACGACGCAACTCCCTGAACCGATTACGACACTTTAAGGGACTCGGAATCAAAATTAAGCGTGCGGGGATTGAACGTACTGGTCAAAAACTAGCGGGTCACTGCCGTGAAGTATCAGAATATTGATTTCGTTGCAAGAAAACGTAAAATATTTGAGTGAAACCGAAATGTTTTCGGGGTGAAAACGACTTTTTGGGTGCGCGGCGTGTACATGTCGTAACGCCTTGTAAAGCGCCCAATCAGAATTTTCCAGCATGGTCAAAAATTTTAGAATGATCGGAATTCGTTGAGGATTGCAGAAATTTCACCGGAAATTTTAAATTCAAGCGTTTTCACGTCCAAACAGGGACAAAAGCTCATGCGGCGCGTTCGCGTTTCGGCCGCATCCGGCTATTTCTGGTTTTTTTGGTATTTTATTTTGTTCTATGATTTAGCGCTTGTTATGACTGATTATGGGTCATCCAACCTGTTCATCAAACGACCATTCGTAGGTGGGTAGCTCGCCGAACCGATTCGTCATTCGCATCGACTTGTGCTTCGGGTAGATCCGGCCCACACACAACGCCGCGTGATCGACCATGGCCGTGTCGGCCATGTTTTGCTCCTTCACATACTGCTTGTAGGACAACTCGTTTCCCATTGCTGGTATAAGCAGGTTAAAAATCTCTTCAAGAATACAGACTAAAACAATTTTTAGAAGGGAAATTGTCGATGATTTTATGAAAAATGAGGTCTTGTAAGCGGGAGTGGATGCAAATCGTTCCGATGTGCAAAAAGAAAATAAAAAATTGCTCTAAATGTTGAAAAAAAAAGCATTTTGACCATATGTCAAAAACTGGCTGGGCTACGGAGGCAATAGCTCGGTAGTGCCTTCATTTCGTAAACGAAGATATTGAATTAGTCTAAGAAACGTTTCGGCATGCCTCATCGATCGGGACGCCTGGGTATTTTTGTTGCAAGAGAAAAAGGTTACTAGAGGCTGGGGCGGACTCGTCGATTCTTCGGTGGTGTCCCAATTTTGTGGGTAACCAGACCTATCGACATCCGTTGGTTCAGATCCAATGAGTGGCACGGCTCAAATCCAAAGCAATTCACGTAAAACAATTTAAAAACCTTGCACCCGTAAGCATTGAATTTTGCTAGGGAATCAGATTCAGTACACCGAAGCGCCTTAAACAGGTCACAAAGCGTTCAAGGCAACGGAAATTGATTTCGTTTTGCTAGTTAACCAAAGCTTGGAAAAGATTGTGGAAGAATGAGACACCGACCAGCTCTGAGTCCTGTGCCCCTAATCTCTGGCACCCATTTTCTTCCGCAAGAAAAAATACCCCGGCATCCCGATCGATAACATTGTCCGTGCTGAAGGCGCTGATCAATAAAAAAGGCTATCGATGCCACATATCATACTCGAGCCCACCACCCTGATCACGACCACGACGTTGGAATTACACTAGCGGATTATAGTAATAATTGAGTAAGAAGTCCGTACCGAAATCGGGGCTACCCACCATTACTTTTAAAAGTATTACTGTAAAAGTCATTACTTCTAACATTCTAAGTGTCGATTTGGGCATAAATATGGCCAAACATCACGAAAAACTGATAATGCGACGTACCAACTTTTAAAAGTAACCTTTTTAGAAGCACTGTTTTTAGAAGTAACCAGGGTTGAGGCCGCTTCGCGACTTTTCAACCCTGGCCCCGTCCGACCCCATTTGATCCTTCATTTTGCATAATTCTCCTGAAATGAGATGACAAAAATGTAAAACAACCTCTTCTGCCCTCTTATATAGTCGAATCCCCGCTTCCAGACTATGCTATTTGTTTCTAACAAAGAAGTTTTCACAAATACCTAAATTTAATATCGAAAATTTATAATTTTGAAAAACCTGATCTCAAGTCCATTGCACATTTAATGACGTATCATACGTACTTTAACATGCCTCCCTTATAGAGATATCCTCCGGACAGACAGACGGAAGTGGATACAAAGCGGTACGCCCGGACACACAGACACTATTGGTAGGATGATCCTCCCCCGAAATACTCAGTTGCCTAACACTACCAGTCTTTTTTTGCTTCAGTTAGGCTCTTTTTGCGGCTCGCCTCGGACTACAGGGAAGAAAAGCGATTTCGAGCCTTATGCTATTCGGATTTGGCAACTGCTCGGATGCGCGTTTTAAAATTGGCCACGCGACGGCATGCAGATGCGACATCTGGTATTGTATCATTAGCGTGATATGAATGGGCACAATGCTAGTTCATGATCTGCCCTGGGTCATTTTTGGGTCACGTTTGCACCACTTCCCCGCCTTTCCCTCCTTTTTAAAAAACTATAAAGATATAAGGGACTCTTGACGTTTTCTCCCACGGGACACTCTCTCTCTCTCTCTCTCTCTCTCTCTCTCTCTCTCTCTCGCTGTCTCTCTATGTTGCTTTCTGTCCTTTTGCTCCCTTACTGTATTTCTTTCCCTCTAACTCGCATCTTGATTTTTGTGAAATTTTGCGGTCTTATATGTTCAATTTCAGGCCATGGACTTCAGCGCTTTTCCTCTGGTCGTACAGCACAACATCCTGCGTCGTATGAATCTCAAAAGCTTCTTCAGAACAGCCATGACAAGCAAGGGAACGCTGGAAATCGCCAAGCTGTGCACGGATAAGCGGTGGGACCTCAGGATTTCGCGTACGACAGAACACGCGTATGCACTGTTCCTCGGAAGCCGCCGGAAAACACCAAGCATCGACAACCTAACTACCTTCAAGCTGCTCTTCCATAATGCCACCGTTAAGTCTTTCTTGCTCGGCATCCCCATCCCCGACGAGGTCGAGCTACGCTGCAGAAAATTGGAACTCTTCTGCGATCTCGATATACTCTCGCTGCTGAAGCGTCACAAACCGCTCGGGAAATACAACGAGGTGACAATTTACAGATGGAATACTAGTTGGAGCCAAGAAATGATCGAATATCTGAATGATTCCGTTACTGTCCTGAACGCGGGCATTGCAGTCGAACAGCGTGGGCGCCTGCTTCTGAAAGTGCCGACGATGTGGCTGCGTATCCACGAGGGGACAGTCGCGGATATTGATGAATACGGGCGAACGGTTGTCGAAGAATGGCTCCGAAGGGATCGCCGAGTCGTTTCGATCGATATTACATCACACCCCATTCATCAAACGCATGGAGTGCGGTTCGAATTCTTGGAGAAGTATCCGAAATTTGAAGTACCAGAGAAGGCCTTCACGTATTATCGAATCCGACGGGATGATGGAAATGTGTTGATTGCAGCGTGCCGTGCTTGGTGGCTCGTCATCTCAGCCCCCAATCTTATTTCCGTAACCGATGTTGACGGCCCGCTGAGTAAATTTGTGCATGGGCGTGAGTGAATAAAGAAGTTTAATTTTTAAACGGAAATCAACCGTCCACGCTGATATAATCATTACCACACATGGAGAGCAGCACGTTCTTTAGGACCAAAGCAACCGCATATAAATAAAACTCTTACGTAATTTTAAAGAAAGCTATTCTCAGCTCGCACGATTTTTTTTGAATTTTGGTCTTTGGGCTGCTGGTATCGATTCTGGGGGTTAGTATCGGGCTTGGAATTCACCTTCGGGCATGCAGATGGCCCATATTGCCAATTCTCTCTCACTCTCTCTCTCTCTCTGACTCTCTCTCTCTCTGTCTCTCTCTCTCAACCTCACGTTCGATTTGGCAAGTAATCAGTGATCTGCCCAGCTGATTTGCTCCGTAGCCTTGTTTGCTTCCTTGCTCCCTTTTCGATTCCGCCTCTGTCTCTGTTGCTCTCTCTCACTTTCCCACTCCCTCTCTCTATCTCACTCGCTCTCTCTCTCCCTCTCTCTATCTCTCGCTTTTTCTCGCTCGCTCTCTATCGTTTTCATCCATTAATGCCAAAATCTCCTTAATTCCAGATCATGGATTTCAGCGCTTTCCCCATCGAAGTCCAACACAACATCCTCCGCCGTATGGACATCAAAACCTTTTTCAACACGGCCATTGCAAGCAAGGCCATCCTACTAAATGCGAAAACGTGTCTGGGCAAGCATTGGGATGTGGATGTCCGAGAGCAATGGATCGGGATGTTCTACCAGGTCATCATCGACGGACGCCCCTGTGAAATTCGCAGTAGGAAGGTGTTCAAGTTGCTCTTCCATAATGCCACCGTGAGGACGTTCGTTCCACAGAATCCGCTGGATGACGATATCAATCTGCGCCGTCGACGGCTGGAAGTGCAGGAAACTGAGCCGGACATCTCGACGATGGAGCGTCACAAACCAATAGGAAAATATGAAGAGGTCATACTTACTGATCGCCAAGACAGGCACATTTCCCTTCCCCGCCACCCAGTTTTGGCAACGCTCGAATTAGTATTGTGGCTGAATGCATCGACACACTCCCTAACAGTTCACATCCGGGCCAATCAACAATTATACGTGCTGCTCACGGTGCCAGAGATGATCCTAGGGATTGTTGGTGAAGAAGCGCTTCCCATCTATCGCTATGCAAAAACGGTGGTCAAAGAATGGCTACGGGGCGAACGCGAGATCAGCTTTATCCATGCTTGCAATCACCAGTTTTATTGGGAGATGGATGAATATCGATTTTTCGACGGATATCCGGTGCTTGAAAACATTGGCGGTTACCGGAGCCTCTACCGCATCAGGCGTGACGATGGGGAGGTGCTGCTCGTTATTTTCGAGCGCGGTGTCAAGATCGGGCTCCCCGACGAAATCTACCAGAGCCTCACATTCCTTGGCGATGATGACGTAGATGCAGATGCAGTAAGGGAATTTGTGTATTTCCGTGGTTGAATAAATTTTTCTCTATTTTTAAGAACAGCACGGCATTGTTAGAACATGGTTTGCATAACTTGGGTCGGATGACTCGACCGTGTCCTTATCATGCTTTTGGAAGCCGGACGATCCGATCACAATCAGAAATCCCCCAGGCTCGGAATCATTGCCGCTTGACACAGATTTGCCAGTAGCCCCAGATTAATCGACCAATATGCCCCCTAGGGCAGGCCAACAGATGTATGACCATCTTGGAAGGTTAATGCTGGACGTGCTGTTTAAAAGGTTATTCAATACCGTCTAATCAGCTCTAAAACGTCGGTATTCCTCGATTTATTTTCCATCGCCGCGCACTACGCTACACGCAATCTCTCTCTCTCTCTCTCTCTCTCTCTCTCTATCTGTCTCTCTGTTTCCCTATCTCTGTCTCTCGCTCTCCCTCGCTCTCTCTATCTCTCTCTCTTTATGTCTCTCTCTCCCGCCGTCCTGTCTCCGCTCTTCCGTTCTGCCCTAGGGTATCCAGATGTATTGTCAGTACTGGATGCTAACGTTTTGGGGATTCGTTACGACTGATATTACCCGAGTTACCGCGTAACCAGACATACAGCGATGCTCTGATGTCTTGCTAAGGCTTGGTCACTATATCACTCTCGTTGTCTCTCTTTCTTTCTCTCTTTCTCTCTCTCTCTCTCTCTCAAGCTCGACCCACGTCTTTTCGCCCTGTTCTAACCCATATCTTTTTCTATTTTCAGACGATGGACTTTAGCAAGTTCCCCATCGAAGTTCAACACAACGTTCTGCGGAATATGGATCCTAGAAGCTACTTGA